AGAGAGAGAGAGAGAGAGAAGGGAATTCTCTTGGTGAAATTCTGTTGTTAATGTCAAGGGTCAGAGGAAAATAACCATACTGCTTCAAGCTAATAGGAAGGCAACAAAGGTATGCAGTACAGCATCTCTGAACACACAACACATCAAACCTTAGGGCAGATGGGCTACGGCGGCAGGAGATCACACCAGGTGGCACATCTGACAGCTAAAGACAGGAGACAGAGGCTACAGTTTACATGGGCTTACCAAAATTGAACAACAAAAGATTGGAAAAATGTTGCCTGAGTGATGAGTCTTGCTGTTTATTTGTTTATTTATAAGGAACCCCATTAGCTTCCACAACAGTGGTTGCTAGTCTTCCTGGGGCCCAAACCGTCAAATACCACCGAATAAAATGTTACACAATGAGTTGGATGCAAAATATCCACATAATTTGGCTCTTACATCCACAATAAGGTTTTACAATTCTGAAAATATAAGCATGTAAATATTAAAAAATATAAAAAACACTCAAACAAAATACACAATTTCCATTACAACACCTTCAGCTGTCTGCTGAAATACTGGAATGGTAGGGTGAGAATTTGGTGTAAACATGTGAAAGCATGGATCCAACCTGCCTTGTATTAATGGTTCAGCATGATGTGGGAGATATATTCTTCCACACTTTGAGCAGTTTAGTATCAACTGAGCATTGTTGACCATGTCCATGCCTTAATGACCACAGTGTACTTGATGACTGCATCCACAGGACAACACACCACGTCACAAAATTAAAAATATCTCTGTTTTTTTGAAGATGACAATGAGTTTACTGTATTCAAATGGTATCCAGAGACATCAGATCTCAATCTAATAAAGCAGTTGGAGAATGGGAGGTTTTGCATTATGTGCAGCCCAAAAATCTGCAACAACCGTTGATGCCATAATGTCAATATGGGCCCAAATCTCTCAGAAATGTTTTCATAACCTTGTTGAAACTATGCCATAAAGAACAAAGGCAAAAGGGAGTTCAACATGATACTCCCAAAGTGTACCTAATAAAGTGGCCAGGGAGTGTATAGCCCTTTTATGTGGGAGGTTATGAAACTGTTTATGTGGTGTTTGAAATAAAAACCTATTTGCTGAAAATTATTGCAGAAATTACTGAGACTCTGAGGTCAAGTTGGCAATTTTTATAAAAAATTGTAATCCTTTGTGTACACTGTAATTACCTGGTGGGTTCTTATAATGTGCTCACCACATAAAAACTTCTCACGGGGTAAATATTTTTTGTGCACAAGATACAGAATGTGGCACTTCAGAGACTCGTCATTCATTTAATTTCAAAGTAACAAATATTTTATGGTTTCTATATTCAGATTGCTTACTGTTGAAGTGAAAGCAAGCAAATTACACATACTTGTGTGGCTTAAATATTTATATAAGGTGAATAATATACTACTAACATATAAAAATAAAAAAAGACTTAATTGCTGCATGACCCGTGTGTCAAAGGATAAATAACAGCCTAAGCAATAATGTGTTCTTGGGTGCAGATGCTTCGTTCAGATGGGATGACGACAGCATGCCCTTAGCAACGGTCGCGTCTCTACGGCAACATCCTCCGAGGTCCCCTCTTTGCAGTTGTCACCGCGGCTTTCAGATGTTGCCCGTGAGACGCACAGAAACCACCGCTTCACTCGGATGTTCGGGGTGGTTTTGGAGGATGTTGTGCTATCATGGATGTAATCCGAGGGACCACTGCGGTAGCCGTTCGTGTCTTGCGATTTGAGTGCCTAAAGTGGGCACAGGGCAACTTGGGCACCAGCCCCCTTCTGGATCTTAGTCATCCATCTCTCAGTTGCCATCCTGCACAAGATCATACACCCGCAGCCTCGTGCGGTCCCCGCTTCTCGTTTACCCCGGCTTCATTCGCGCCAGCCGCGTGTCATACGGCGGCTGAATGGATCCCGCCGTGCTCATCTTCCTGCTGTACGTGATGATCGCGCACGACCTGGTCTGCGGCTGGATGCAGTACCGGAGACAGAGCGCCAAGCCTCGCAAACGAGCTGACCGACCTCTGCTGAGCTCCAGGTATGTGTGAGTGTGTTTAGGTGTATGAATGGCGGTAATCAATCAGTAGTGTTAACCACCTGCAGCCTCTGATAGTTTTTAGTAAATGGCTGTTGAGGGGCGGGGGGAGATCAGAGAAAAGAAAGGTTTTGCAGAACTTGTAAATGACTTACCAAACTAAAGCTATAATGTGTTAAATGTTCACACTCACAGCAGCTGGTGAAACATTCACAACCACCAGTCTTGGTTGACTGTAATCTGTCGACCATATCTGTAACGAATGATGAAAAGTCATTTTGGGTCAGAAAGAACATTTCTGTCACCATTTCGAACCTGCAATAGATAGACAATCAATCACAATAAAAAAAAACACATACAAGATCATTAAAAACCCCTTTGTTTTTAATGATATTTTTAAATCTGTTACTTAAATCAATCACATGCTTGCACATGTGGGTCATGTGATTATTGGGGTTTTCTTTGTTTCTTTTTAATATTAGAGCATTTATCTTTTAAAATTAAGTGCCTTCAAGCAACTGTTGTTGTATATATAAAATTTAACTGAACAGAATTGAAGTGTTGTGCAGCATGTTGTAGATGCCCCACAACACCCGTTTTTCTTGGATTGTCTAAGTTTAATGAGGTTTCCATTCAAACTCTCTGTATTTCTTTTCAGTGCTCGTGTTTGTCAGGGAGCCTGGAGGGCAAGCATCCAATCGGTCAGGACAAATAGAGGAATGAGGGACCTGAGGAAGTGCGGCCGCATTGTGAGAAAGGCCTAAGAAAAGAGACAAGTTTGATATATAAGGACACTTATTGAAGAGTAGGGACTTCTGAGCGTGACCTGGTCCGCAAGCTTGATCTGGGTCTTCTCGCTTTTAATTTTACTGGGCATTTCAACCATGTCTTACCATTTGGAAGAGCAGCTGGCAGCGTCTTTCTGATGCAAGTCAAGAAGCAAAAGTCCCAACTGCTAAGAGATTTAAAGGTCAAACTTAAGGTATTGCCAGTATTAGTTTCCTCTATCATTCATTTGTACTTGAGCTATGGCTTTCAAGGTGCTTTGAATACCATTTTTGTTTGTTTGTTTGTTTTGGTTATAATATTTGTATTTTTATGTGTGTAAGATTAACTGTTTAAATGTGTATTTTTCCTAGTTTGCTGAAGCATGAATTGTCTCCTACAGTACTGTCAAATACCAAATCAAGGCTAAGAAGCTATGAGCTTTATACTAAAAGCTGCACAAAAGTAAACTTACCTTAGACAAAGTGATTTAGTGTAAAAGTGTAAATGTAACCTTGCAAAGAATCATTTAGTAATTAGATATAACTCAGAAAAGAAATGGATGTAACTGGTTGCATCATTTTCACAGATCCACGTGTTCTATGTTCTGTTACACATTAATTCGTCTATAGCCCCAAACTCTAACCCATATCATAAAAAGTGAATACAGCACCCATGTG